AACATGTGCTTTTTACTCACGAAATGGGATATCCTTTGTTCTGAAAGGATAGTGCATTACAGCCAGACAAAAGAAATGTTACACATGACATAAATCAATGCCTAAATAAATGAGTCCTGTTTGGTTGCTGAAACTAAGTCACTTCTAATAAAATTATTCAACCAATAGTTTTTACCCATTGGGATGTCATCTTTTTATTTATGTATGAGAGGCACATCATGGACATTGCAGGTCTCAGGACTGTAATCATGCAGCTCAAACAAGGTTGTCCTGAAGTCTCAAAAGCCAAGCTTTTGGAACAACCGGAATATATATAACTCTACAGCCTGGCAGTAAAGACAGGATTCACCAGTACCTTCTTGACCTCCAATGCATAGGGGGGGGGGGGGTTGGAGGGAAAAGAAGCAGGAGGGAATGTTTAACCCTTCCCACACCTGCTATTTTTCCTCTGCTTAGAAACCAGGTTTCCTGGTCAGGAGGGTTAAGGTATTTGAAGGGAAATGGGAGAATCAGGCAAGTAGGGGCAAGATTAAAATCACCACCTCCCTACCACACACACACTTCTTGATTACAAGTGTACTACCTCCCCTATTTGCTCATTGAACTAAATGTCTAGTTCTACCATGTACTCTTATTTTGCCTCTGTATGACTCTAGTTAAGAAACCAGGTGGAATAGGAAAAAAATGAGTAGTTTACTTCATTAAGCAAAACTAGCAAGCCAAATGTGTAGAAAAGGGTTTTTTTTTTAAGAAATACGACTTTTTCCTAACATATGTAAGACTCCTGTCAACAAAACCAAGTAAAGCCTGTATCCAGAAGCATTTTTACACATGAAGCCTAAAAAAGTGTAAATCAATTTGTGAAGTAAATATAAAACCTATCCCAGCTTTCCCCACCTGGTGTCCTCCCCAGGTGTGGACTAGAAAGCTGGGTTCTGGAGTCAATTGGAGGGAACCAAGTAAGGAAAAGCTAACCTGCACTGATCAGAATTTTTCACAATTCTGCTTTAACAATGCTCTGACATTAATGGGAATAGTGACTCTAAAGGTTATACAAGCCTCACATATCGACATTACTTTATCTCTATTCAAACAGAATTACGGCAAGTATTTCTGCTTGGCAGCTAGATGGTGATTTTGACACTTGCAGTTGTAGGCTTGCATTCTAGCCAGCCAGGTAAAAGATGCAGATATGAGAAAGAGGGTGGGTAACAGGAGTGCAACAGGCCCTTCAGTCAGTTATTTTAAAAACAAACCCAGGTACTAAGTTACTCTGCATTTCTGGCAGTGCTAGTCTTGGTTGAGTAGAGTTTTGAATGTGGCTTTCCCACCAAGTGTTAGCTACAACTGATGTGGCTAGACAATAAATATAAATCCTTTGGTATATCTCTCAGTAATTTGCATTAGATAAGCCAGGCTCCCAGTTATTTACAATACCTACGAAATCATACTGCCTGTATAATTTATAGGAGTGTACCTTTACTGCTGAAATGAAGAAAGCTTGAGGTAAGCAGGAATGGATTTTCATGTGGAAGAACTGACTCAACTGGACTCCAAATTAATTCTCAGTATGTTTTTTGCATCACATTACAGCTGGCAGATCTTGGAGTTCTTAAAAAAAAACAAAAAAGCACATCCTGCGAGCTTGATGTTTGACACACCCCCTCCCATCTACAACCTATAGAGCGCCTTCTCTAACCAACTTCACTTTCCCAAATCTCTACCCAACAACAATGCAAATGCCCAAAAGGTCATGGGCCAAGTCACTAGATTCACAAATAAATGTCAAAATAATTGGTGCTTTAAAAGATAATATCTTATGTTTTAAGCTTCCTTCTTAATTTAAAAGATAACTGGTTGGAAATCTGCAAACTCATAAGGTCCTGAGTCAGGCTGCCTGTTGCATCCCACAAATCCCTGCATCTCTCATAGGAATGTGAAGATTGCTGGGTTAAAGAATTTCTCCATACAAGTTCTTCCCTCATGACACTGGCTTAAGCCATCTGGAGGAATTATTTTAGCCCCTTTCTTCAAGCACAAGAAGAGAGCTTCAGGTTCTCTTGAGAGAACACATCCATACATTTCAAAAAGTCACCTGTTTTCCCCCCAAAGCATCCCCAGAGTCTCTCATGAGCAGTGCCACACAGGGCCTTGTCTCCCCTCCCCTCCCACCCCACCCCACCCCACCCAAATCGCCAGCACACTTTTCAAATGCCTCAGCTATTATGAAGGAAACACTACTGTGAGCAACCTCCAAGTCTCCTCTTTTAAGAGCTTTTGGCCCCTCACAGTTCAACTATGAAACACATGGGGGGGGGGGGCAATTGAACAGCAGCACATTCACTCCCAAACCAAAAGGATGCTCACTGGAAAAGGGGAAAGAAGTATCTCTGAACTTCATTAGCATCACAGCACACCAGGCTCCATTATATTTCCCAAGGGGAAAGAGACTTCCATAAGAAAGTGTTGCTATTTTCCTTCACCACTAATAACCTCAAGCACCATAAAGTTAGCTTGTAGACCAGACCCCTCAACACATTTTTCCTCCCCACCTCTTTGCCCAAGTCTGTTTCCCTGCCTCACTCAGCTGTCCAATAGTCATGCTGCAGCAGCACCTTTTGCAAAAGACGAATCCCCATGGCAATGCTTCTATGAGTTACCTAGCTTCTATTTTACTGAATATACCCTTGCTTGATCTACGGGCATTCTGGCCTGGATGTATGATTCCCCCACTCTGGCCCTGTTACAAGATTAATGTGGAAGGAGGTTTTCCAGATCTTGACTTCATGGCCAAGGATTCCTGATCTGCGTGTACATCAAGATTCTGGGTCACATTCTAGGATTTGGTCCATCCAAGTCCTGACTAGGCTTGTCGAGCATCACTGTTGCTCACTGTTACTGCTATTGCCCATTGCTTAAACATCATTACATTGTATGTAAGTTGCATTTCTGCATGCTATAACTTCAGAATGCAGCTTGCAATAAAGCACATCAAAAGAAAAAAGAAGGTTAAAAGAACACAAAGCTACATACCTGAGGATCAGACTAGCCATAACAGGAAGAGTTGTATTTAGTATCCTCACACCACTATGCTTTATAGTCCCTAGTCCTCCACATATAAAAGGATGGGTGGGATGCTACAGGCGAAGGAAGCTGAACTCCTCAGCCACCTACGTTTGCTTAGCTTTCTAGTACGTAGTCTGTAGTTTGGACTGCGAGTTGAACAACACGTTAAAGACTTAACCTGCAAATCTATACTAGGATAGCGGCAATGTGAAGAACATGATGGACTCTTCATTATACACTATAATTAATGAAACCGGCAGAGTAGTCCAGGGCTCCCTATTTATTCTCAATCTGTGGGTGCAGTCCCCAGTGAAGAGGCACTGGCTAGGTACAGTTTTTTCTTTTTTTGTAAAACAAAACTAGTACCACTTTGTTCTGCAGAGCAGCAGTAGTTGTTTGTGACAATGCAGATGGATGAACAAAGAGAAAGCAGCGCAAACATCCACCTGTGCTGTCTCTGTGCGTGATGCACAAGAATTATCCATGTTGTTAATAAGGTTGCTAACCTGTGCCAGATGACAAAAGTCATATACCAAAATTTCCAGTTAGAGGACTATCAGCTGAACACACTTAGCAGCAAGAGCAACTGCTTCTCAACTGCTTCTCTTTACCAGTCTTCAAACTTTTATGAAGTTCATGATCCAAGAAAGAACAAATCAGTTTTTTACTGAGTCCTATACACCACTTCAGATTTTTTTAATCAAAAATTGAAAGGTGGGATAGGTATTACTATATGCTAAATAGTAATAGCATATATTCCTACAGCCTTCTAGGGGCTGTTGATAGGAGCCATTTCATTAGCAGAAAAGAAAATATGGACACTTGCTTCTCAAATACACAATCTTCTATCTTAGTCTCAACATAGGGTATATATTAAGATCACGTAGCAGGAGTTGCTTGTAATAGAAGCTATCTAAAATGCATTCAGTTCAAATGTGTGTATGAGTAAGAACTCTCATTCACAGATTTGTGATACGTACAAGGAGGGTGAATTAAGTCACCTAGAATAGGGTGTACAGTTTATTTGCACTGAATGGAAATCCTCTTCCGAGTTTTAATAGATTAGAACCTAACTCCAAGGCATCATGTAGGATCAGAGTTAACTGCATACCACAGAGATTGTGTCCTTTTACCTGTCTTGAGAAATACAGAATAACCCCCACCTCAGTGTGCACATTAGAATATTTTACTTTCCGAAATGAACAGGCTCCATTTCACCACTTTGCAACCATATTTACAATTATGATGCAGTTTAAGGGGAAACCCCCAATTTGGCTTAAGTGATAGAACAAGGGCATCTGAGAAGCTGCCATCTCATCCAAAAGATGCTAGCACAACAATCCTCCTGCTAGCATTCAGAACTGGACCCCACTGAAGTCAGTAGAATTTACTTACAGGTTATTGAGTGCAGGATGCTGACTTGAGAGTAAACCCCCTTGGACAGTGAAACTTCACTTCTGAATACAGGAGCAGAGGATCACCCTGCGTGGTTTCTGCAGCCCTAGCATGGCTGGCAGTAAGGTCTGCCTAGCCCAAGAGGAGAGACAGGACTGCAGGCCCTTAGGTGGAAGCCTTGCCCACGGAAGTCAACAACTTCCTCCAGGGCAAACCTGCTTAGCCTTGGTGTGACAGCGCGCAGTGCACCGTCGCCGGGTGGAAGTGTTTCCCCGCTGCCCCCTGCTCTGGACGACCCCGAGGTCTGGCTTCAAGGTTCACCGCTTGGGACTGGGCGCCTGTCTTCCTCTCCCCGCACAAGTTGCGTGTCTGCGTCTGCCTGCCTGGGTTTGTGTGTGTGAGAGAGAAGGGGGCCCTGAAAGCCTTCCCCAACCGCCGGCCGGGTGAGGCCCGAGCTCTCTACCCTTGCACAAGAAGCCACTCTTCCCCAGGCCTTGACAGCGGTGGCCCTCCCGTCCCTTCCCGGCGGCGGCACGCACCGGGGTCGTCCTCGTCGCGGGGGACCTTGCGAAAGCAGTCGTTGAGGCTGAGGTTGTGGCGGATGGAGTTCTGCCAGCCGGCTTTGCTCCGCTTGTAGAACGGAAAGTTCTCCGCCACGTACTGGTAGATGTGGCTAAGCGTCAGTTTGCGCTCCGGCGCGCTCTGGATGGCCATGGCGATGAGTGCGGAGTAGGAGTACGGCGGGCGCACCAAGCGCAGCAGCTCCTCCTGGCTAGCCAGGCTCAGCCAGCCTAGCTCCGGTGATGAGCCGGCGCCAGCCGCAGGCCCCGCCGTGCTCAGGAGCTGCGACCCTCCGACGCTCCGCGGCGGACAGCCGTAGGGCAGGAACGGCGCGCTGGAGCCGCCGGGGCTGCCGCCGCCTCCGCCGCTCTGCACGTAGGGCCCCGCGCCGCTCACGCCCCACAAGTAACCGGCGGCGCCCGGCGGCGCCCCGTAGTCGCCCAGCGTGTAAGTCGCTGCGGAAGGTCTCTGCCCCGCTGTGCCCGCGGCTGCAGCGGCTGGCTGCGGATAGACGCTAAAGGCTTCGCTGCAGTAGACTGCCATGACGGGCGCCTCTCGGGCGCTGCTCCTGCTGCACGACCAAGCAGCCAAAGGGCTGACGGCCGCGGCTGGGGGCGAGCGGGGAGAGGACTGCGCTTGCTGCGGCCCACTCGAGTTCATGGGCTAGGCGGCGAGAGACGGGGGAGGCGCCGCGCGGGGCCCGTCCCGCCGGGATCCTTCCTTCGGAGAGCCTCTCCGCGCTCCCTCGATCCCTGCAGCGCCTCAAATCGCTTGGCCCGCGTCCCTGCCCGGGGCTAGGGACGGCCGAGCGGAGGAGGGACTCCTCCGGCAGCCAGTCGAGGGGCGGCGTGGCGAAACGTGGAGGCAGCGCCCGTCGGAGGCGCCCCCAGAGAGGGGATCTCGCCTGTCCGTCTAACCCGCCCCTCCTCCCGGAGTGTCGCTCGTGCAGCGAGGGGGCTTGCTTCTGACTGAGCACGTGCAGCGCGGAGCGGAGGGAGGGGAGAGGGCAGAGCGGGTGCCGCGCGGGACGCCTTCGCGGGAGAACGAGTCCCGCTCGCTCGCGGTGCGACCTGCTGGTCAAGAACGGATTGGCGAACCTCAGCCCACGCGTGGCTCCTCGCCCGAGACGCTGCCCGCGGGCTCCGAAGTTAATCCGGTGGATATTTACAGGAGTTCCTCCCCACTGCTAGCCATGGCAGAGTTAAAATAACGTTGCGGATCACATGTTGATGCAGACGCTCCCCTGTTGAGTTCTTCTCTTGCAACGGCCCCGACGGTGAGGACAGATTCCTAATTCATTTTTATTTTTAAAACTTAATCTTTGGAGGATCCTTCCAAGCACACGTGGCCAAAACCACCTGAAAGCTGGTATGAGTCAGTGGGAATTTGATCCAAATGAACGTGTTTCTAGGGAAGCAGCAGAATCCCGTTCGGACTGGCAAAAAGAATTTCAAGGAATTACGCCTGCTCCCCACGGGATGGTTTGGGACACTTCGCATTATTGTCCTTTTGGAAATTGGAGGTTGGGAAAATTGCATTAAATATAACTTGTGTTGACAAAGGGTAAAACCATCCATTTTCAACGTTCGTTAATTATATTTCAAATTCTGATTCATTTTCCATTTCCAATTTCCGATCAGTTTATTTTAAAGGTGCCTCTTCACTTCCCAAGTAAATCCCCAAAACTCGATTCACGGTGTTGTATCCAGACTGTCATGCTTAGAAAGGACCTACTGTCAGTAATGGGAATGCCAGGTACATTTTGTACACCGTTCTGAGAGCTTGTCTAATCGAACTGTATAGAAATACCTTAAATAAATAAGTCATAACTGAAGTCCCAATTATTTTATTTGGTTTGCTTTAAACATGACGAAGTAGGGATCCAAACCCACCATAGCAGCTTTTGAGGATGGACTTTCCAATCCAAAGTACATAATTAGTTGGGAAAATAGTTTTTTAACTTCCTTAATATGTAGGAGTCCCCTTACAAATAATTAGGTCTCATCTTCCTCCTTCAAAATGCGGATTTTTAATTAGGACATGAAATTGGTTATCATAGGAAAATAATCCATGAAGTCTTATACAGGACTAAATCCATTTAGAGACACCAGAATGACGTACCAAGGTATCCCTTATGGTCAATAACAACATAAGCACCGCTGCCTTGACTGAATGGCTAAGATATAAGTCTGCTTGTTCCTCACTGGCTTCAGTTACAGACATCGCTGTAATAGGTATGCATAAGAAATTGCTTGAATATTAAAAGAAAAACGAAGATTCCTTGATAAAATGGAAGGGATAAAATGAGGAAATGGGTCACAATCAAAATGTTCATTTGAACAGATTTTTTTCCAAAAAAGATTAATTAAATGTTCAATCATTTCACTGTTCCTTGCTAAATGATTAGAATAAATGCTATGTATTTACATTTTTTCATTCTGGGATTACTAGTAATAGAAAGCATACTCTAGCAACCTTTTGTCAAAATAAACTAGTTAGTCTTTAAGATTCCACAAGACTCTTTGCTGTTTCTTCCAACACATGTTTACATGCGAGTAAATCTAAGACAGCAAGATGAGGAAGGCACCCTTAATCCCAGATGGCCACAATGTGCCTCGATCTGGAAATGTTTTTAATCCAGGACACACACACGAGACAAGTCGCTGGTCACTGCTTTCCTGGACGCCTTCAGTGTTGCATATGCAAAGTAAAAGCCACCCAGTTTAACCACTTTCCAACATATCGATTTTAATGGTGGAAATTTAACGATTTACTAGGAATTGTTTAACAACCTCTCGAGAGCACCCTCGTCATTTTTTTCTCCGAACGCCTTACAGGACTGTTAGAAGAATCTAGTCAATATTTGGCAATCGTTTGAAGAGAAATGTCTTTTTATCTAAGCAGTTTAAATAACGTCTAAGCAGACGTTTTTATTTCGTCCGCTAAACTACACAAAAAACTTCCACGGTAAGATTTCGAAGCAAAACAAAGCCTATCCTCCTGAAAATTATTTGAAAATCCATTATGAAGCCACTTTGACCAAAGACACACAAAATAATTCCTTACAAAGGAAATGTCATATTTCATGTCAGTTGCTCTAGGAGGGATCTTTACTGAAATTATTTCCTCGGGGAAGAGAAGTGCCTTCATTTTAACAGCCATGTGCAAGTCCTGCAATGTTTACTGACAAGCTCTTTAAAGTCTGTGCCTGGACAGGATTCCTCAAGAAGTAATTTCCATTTAAAACTTCCGCTTATTTCCAAATAAAAATGTTTAGGAATACGGTTGTTTTAGTATTGCGTCGCTTTCAACTGAACCGGGTGAAATGAGCACTCTATGCGGCCCATTCGCGACCGCGATGCTGAATTCCGCAAAAACATGCTTCAGATCGGGTGACACCTCTCTTGTTCCGAAAACCTGGCGCTCTCAAACCTCGGCTGGATCGTGCCTTTTCTGCTTTTATTAACGGAAACGGAATGAGTTCCAGTTTACCCACCGCGCGTTCTCGCTCCCCCATTCCCCTCCCTGCCATTTGACTTTATAGTGTGAGCCTACTTTAGCTGCTGTGAAAGCTGGGCCATAAGGAAGGCTGAGCGCCGAAGGATTGAGGCCTTTGAATTGTGCTGGAGGAGACTCCTGCGAGTCCCCTGGACTGCAAGGAGATCAAACCGGTCAGTCCGAGAGGAGATCAACCCTGACTGCTCTTTAGAAGGCCAGATCCGGAAGATGAAATTCAACTACTTTGGCCACCTAATGAGAAGGAAGGACTCCCTGGAGAAGAGCCTAATGCTGGGAACAATAGATGGCAAAAGAAGAAGGGGACAGCAAAGGATGAGGTGGCTGGATGGAGTCACTGAAGCTGTTGGTGTGAGCTTGGGTGGATTCCGGGGGGATGATGGAGAACAGGAAGGCCTGGAGGAATGTTGTCCATGGGGTCGCGATGGGTCGGACACGACTTCGCGACTAACAACAAGAGCAACAACTTTAGCTGCGGTCAATTGAACTCATACCCATATAAAAATGTTTAGCGAAAGGACCTATAGGAGGTACAACGAAAGGGGGAGGGCAAGCGACGGCTTTTTTCCACGCCAGACGGCTCGAGGCTTGATCGGTTTGGTGCTGCCGCCGCTGCCGCTGGGAGGCGCGCTCTCCTGCGGGATCAATAAAGTGGAGCTGTCGGGGATGGGCAGATGGCCTCGGGCCGCTCCATCGCGTTAATTCTGAAAACTGAGTGCCAGCCAAGGTCCGTTTCCTTTGGGGTAAGACTGAGCCTCCTAGAAGTATTTTCCGTGCATTGCAGCTTCTCTGCACGAATCGGTTTCGCCGCAGAATCGCGGCTCAGGCTCAACGCGACGCTTTCCCTTTCGTACTGTCCCATTACTTAACTTCTAGGTGGCGCTGTGCTATGGCGGAACAGGGAATGGAATAGGAAAATAAACTCTCCAAGCAGCTTATTTCCAGGTACCAAAACCATCACGTGTAAAGGCATAATCGCAATTATGCACATCTAGACATGGGCTCAAGAGAAGGTTCGTGTGCCATGGGCAGGTGGTGGAGATAATCCTCACTCTTACGAAGATGGGTGACAGGAGATGTCAGCCGAGTAGAGAATCCACATTTATGATTTAACATGCTGTAGGTTTGGACTTACTCTTTTTATTTAAAAAAAAAAAAGACTGAAAGGTGAGAGCAGCAGAACAGCCACTGGTTTGATCTCTGGTGCAATGAGAGCAAGAGGGAGAGCAATTATGCAGCATCAAAGAGTAACAATTAATGTGAATTTCTCCAGAAGTGAAATTGATGCCTCAGCTGCTTCTCTCAGTGAGCTTATTTCTTTTTAATTAGACATCCCACTTCTATCCATTAAGAACTGGACCACCACCAAGTTCCTGTAGGTGGGGTGAAATGGAAGCAAATTCCTTAATCTGTTAAAATGAATAATTTCATTTCTGGAATAATTTCTAGAAGATCAAACAATGGACTTGTTTGCTAGTGAGCTATTGAACCAGAGTTTAGGCCATTCTATTGCAGAATGATGGTACACTTGAAAAAATATCTCTAGATTCAATCAAAGCTACAATCCATAATAAATGCAGCTGCTTACAGTTTTCTGCTTCTCTCCTTTTGGCAATTACTTTACAACCAAGGTGCATGTGTGTACTATGCGTGTGTGTGTGTGTGTGTGTGCATGCATATACACTATTCAGACAATGTCTCTAACTCTACTGGCCCTGAGCAATGTCATGCAACCAGGTGAAACTTTTCTCACCATTTCAACAATATACAAATAGGACGGCCAGAGAAAAACACACATGCCAACAGCTCGTCATAGCTGAGCCACAGCATTCACATAGGCCTGCTACAGACATAGAGACAATCCACGGAATAGACTGAGTATCAGTTGTTACTGAATTGTAGGTTGTCATAACATGCATTAAATAATTTAACAATGGGTTGTTAACCATGAACAACCTTGAAAGAGAATCTACAATTTATTTTTGGGCTGTGAACTCTGCTTTGTTCATGGTTAAGAAACCATTGTTAAACTATAAATCAGGATTCACATGTAACAACAATCCACAATTCAATAATAATTCATCTATACCTGTACTCTGGGTTGTGGTTACGTGCAAAGCAGATCAAAGTCAACTGTAAGGGAT